GCTTGAGGCCAGGAGTTCAAGAGGAGGCTGGGCAACATAGCAAGACTCCATCTCTACAAAAAAATTTAAAAATTAGCTGGGCATAGTGGCATGTGCCTGTAGTCTCAGCTACTTGGGAGGATAAGGCAGGAGGATGATTTGAGCCTGAGAGTTTGAGGTTGCAGTGAGCTATGATCACGTCACTGCCCTCTGACCTGGGCAACAGAACGAGACCCTGTTTCTGAGTAAATAAATAAAAGTAAAAAATAAAAAAAGGAATGAAGTACTATACATGCTATATGAACCCTGAAAACATTCTGTTAAGTAAAAGAAAGCCAGACACAAAAGGTCACATATTATAATATATGATTCATTTATATGAAATGTACAGAATAGGCAAATCCTTAGACAGTAAACAGATCAGTGGTTGCCTAGGGCTGGGGGCAACTGAAATGGGGAAAGTGATTGCTAATGATTTCTTTTGAGTTTGATAAAAATGTTTTAAAATTAGATAATGCTGATGGTTGAACAACCTTGTGAATCTACTAAAAACCACTGACTTATACAATTTTAAAGGTTGAATTTTATTGAATTTTTATCTCAATAAAGTTGTTATGAAAAAGACAATAAAGCTATTACTTAAAAGAGATAAACAAAAGAACCAAATGATTTGGTTGGGAGAGCACTAAGAGTCCCACTAGAAGTGGCAATCAGAACCTCAGAAGCCACGGTGCATGCCATGCCCTCATTTAACCCTGCAGTATCTTGGTGAGAAGTGGTTTTAAGCAGTCGGAATTTGGACTAATCGGTCAACCAAGCACATAAGACTTCTGAACCAGTTTTCAAATTGCCTAATCAAATACATGCTTAGGGAGAATTCTTCCCAAACCCCTGCACAAAAATGAAAGAATAAAAAAAAAAAAAATGAAAGAACAGAGAGATGAGGAACAGCCATCGTCTTGTTACACTTTGGTTATTCCCTCCACATGTATTCTGATCATACATGCACATCCTTCACATCTAACATTGTAGTTAGTGCGACTTGCAACGTATATGAGCATAATTATCACATATCAAAAACACCCTTTAGTCCAATTTATGCTAAGAATGCATCATCTACTTTCTATCAGTTATGAGCACCGTTTTCAGAGCCTCTCACTCTTTGTGAATTTCCTTGCTATGTACTGCTTGGCCCCATACCCGCACAAAATAACGGGGCCTCTCTCTGATAGTTTTGTGGCCAGGCTGTTTGAATATTTCGGTGTATCTTGTTATTAATCTGTTTATCAAATATTTACGATATACCTACTATGTGCCAATCACGTACTAAGTACTGGTGAAATAAAAAAACATAATCTGACTTTACTGAACTCATAAAGACAGTGGAGGAGAAAGAAAAAAAACAAATAGCCCCACAAATGAAAACATAAGTTTAGATAATGGAATGACAGTGAAGGTGATGAGAAGGGCAAAGGGGTAGAGACTAGGAGTCCGGGTGCGTATCTGTGTCGCTGGGATGACTCAGAAGCTGTGGCATTCAAACTGAGACTAAAGGGTGAGAAGGAGATAACCTTGCAAAGATAATAC